GAAACTGATTTAAAGATTAACAAATACAGAATAAATGTTGTTGCCCAAAGGTTGTAATGTTCGGTCTATTTATGAATTATTGTTCCTTTAATTTACTTTGTTTTGTGACAAACGTTAGTATATCTAAAATATATCTAAAATCAATAACGGGGTTTCTAATCTGTGACGTTAGTCATACATGCTTTACCTTCATCATTATCTGGATTTCCTTCGATTTCTATATCCTCTTCATTTTCATTCTTTTCCAAATGCAACAAACATTAATACAATAGTTATTAGTTTTTTCGTGGATATTGGGACATACTAAGTGCGAATAAAGAAATTCGAATGTTATGTACGCAACTAAGTGTTAACAAATATCATGTTTTAATAACAATAATGCTAAAGTGTTTTGGATAAGAATTCTGCAAACACTTACTTTTCTAGAAACAAGAATATCAAGACAAGGAATTGACAAGACAAAATGTCACCAAATGCAAATGGTTGAACTACGATTTAATGCGAACAGTCGAGCTTCAATAATCAGTTACAATAAGTGTTGAGTGTAATGTCTACGCTTCTTGGTGGTGGCATAAGAATGTGTCAAGTATACACTCTTCATAATGACATTAAATGATAATTAGGGAGCATAAAGACCTTAGACACTTCCAATGCAACTTTAACTTTTGATAAACATACCTGTACAGGTGCAGCAAATATTGTAACACATAACAAAATCCATATCAACTTCATCTTTGAATTCTATGATCCAGAAAAATTTCCCTTATGGGAAATGATATGATATGATATGCAAATGCCAAGTGAAATAGCACATACAATGGCGGAGTATTTTATTCATTATGGTAGAACAATGGTAAGAACATTGAAATAACTTTGTCATTAACTATTATAACAATCACGTCAAAACTATTGTGCACACAGTATTGTAAATGCTAGCATATCAGGCCACTTAAATATCAGCCTTAAAAACACATTGATCACGCTAGCTATAGCGTGCATGTAGAAAACGGCTGGAAGATAATGATGAAATTTGGCCATAGTCTAAACCTAAACTCCGGTATTAAATCCCTAATATCCATGTATGGTCTCTATCTGTCATCAGATTAATAAAGACAATATTAAGAAGTTGGTTTCTAGAACAGTGTGATCAATTTTGGTTCATTTCACAGAAGTGGTTATTCTTTAAGCTGCTTCTCAACTAAGCAGGTCATTTAGGATTGAATTATTTACTCAAAGATGGTCACACTTTAGAGCAAAAATACTGAAAAGTTTGACAGTGAAATAAAATTTTGTCATTAAGTAAATTTAAGAAAAATTAATTTAATTTTTTTTAAAAACAAACAATAAAAACATGACTTACAATAAGAAATGAAAGAAATCTATCAGATAGTTTGCCTTGGAGAGCATTTACCCATCATCACACTTTGTCATCTAAATGGGCTTAGAAAATGTAATTGTACTAAATATAAATACTGAGATGCAGGGAATTAAATTGTCTTTTTATCTATGTAAGCATTTTGACAAAAAGCTTCGTAACAAAGCAATTTTGGGCCAGTGTAGCACCTCCGCCTTCGTTAGAAAGCTTAGTTGATAACGAAGCAATTGAGTAGAAAATTCAACGAAGGTTAGGTCCCAACGAAGCTTTTTTGGCCAGTGTACAGGGTGGTAAAAAAACGGCAATCCTAATTTTTCCTCATATCTTTGTCATTTTTAGAATTTTTGCCCTGATATTTGGCACACATGTACATCATTCAATTTCATACTAGACTGTGTTATTTCATGAACATTGGACTGATAGTCGCAATGTGACAGCAAACCTGCACACATTTTCCAAACCTGTCAATGACATAACTGCATTCCTCAGCAAGTATGGCCTGAACGACACATGTGATCTTTATTTTGAGGTCAAATGTCTTTCTGGTGTTATTATCCTACACTCTATCTTTGGGGTATCCCCACTGGTAAAGATTAAATGGAGCCATATCTGGGCTATGGGGTGCCCATTCATTGTCTGTTGTACTGCTGATAACGTGGTCATTGAAGTGGTCCCAAAGCCATTATTGTGCATCATTGGGTGTATTGGGTATGGTTCTGTCTTGTTGGAACCACTGTTGCTGCCTATCAACCCCCCTGGGTTCACCTAAAGTCCTCAAGAACTCTATGGGGATCACAAAATAGAGTTTGATGTTGACAGTTATTGCATATCCGTTGATATCATCAAAGGTAAAGGACCCTATCTTCTGAGAACACATTAAACAGTGCATCTGTCTGTGTCAAGGTGCCTCTCCACTACTTCATCAAGTGCTTGGCTCCCCAAGAATACATAATTGTTAAGTTTATCAATGCATCAAGTTGGAAATGGAGTTCATTTGAATAACAGACCAGCTCAGACAGCCCGAAAGTGGCCATCTTGGGCATGTTGTTTAAAATGCAGTTATATTGTGACTATCAGTCCGATGGTCATGGAATTTAGTAGGTTGGTAGCTAGGAAATTGAATAATGTACAAATGTGTAAAATATCAGGTAGTTATTTCTTAGAATGACAAAGATATTAGAAAAAACTAGGGTTGCCGTTTTTGACCACCTTGTACCAGGTAGCTTCGTTAGAAAATGTAATCTATGCTTACTAGATAGAATGACGTGGCATACATATTTGATATTAAGATTTTTTGCTCCTCGTATGATCATACCTTGGATATAATTATAATTAGATGTTGATACCATGATAGTATTACTTACCAGTCAATCACATCAGGGATTTAGCTGATTTAATTTATAAGAAGATGCCCCTACTCAACAATCGTATCCAACTGCCTATCGCCTTAGCTTTTGCAATTTTTATCTAGTCGTTCCATTATTTTATTCTTCGACGATTTTAATAATTGAACTTAATCTTCATGTTTAAATGGATTGAATTAACGTTTCAAAACTACTGTGTACATATGCGGTAGGACCTGCGAACAAGGAACGCTCTCTGCACTGGCCAAAGCTGTTCCTTGTTGACAGGTATTTGCAACAGAGAGGACACATTTGTAAGGCCTGTAGCCTCGAAAACCAAAGTCGCACCTAGGCATCCATTATTGTTGCCTTTGAATTATTGATGTGTCCTAAGACGTTGCTTACAACTGATATTCAAGTTTCTTCCTATTTGCGTCACTTTCGAATTCAACTGACGCCATTAATTTCCCGCAATTTTTAAAATTAAATTTTTAAATCATCAAATATTGCTCTATTTTAACACCATTGGAATGATTGAACAAAGGACACACTATTTCAATAACAGAATATAATGCCATATTTCATGCGTTTAAATGTTTTAACACATTAAAAATATTGCACCCCGCGATGTCATTGAGGGTGCAAAAGAATTTTGAAAAAAATTAATGTCAATCATTTCTAAATATGCAAAACTTTCAAATGTTGAATGGCTAACTAGGTTGGAAAGAATAGTATATAATGTTATTGATATTAATGTACCATTGTTTTTATGAGAACTAAATCTTTAATTGCATTTCAAGACAACTTTTTGAAATACAAAAAGAATTTCATGTTTCACATTATTATAACATTTGGTAACACTACAATATAAATCAAAGTGCTAAATGTGCCTTAATTGTATGTATTTTATTAGGCGAGGTCGTATAATAATGTGATGTGTGGATATCCTTGAAATGTGCGTACTTTCATGTGTATTTAAACATGCTACATGTATACTAGTTGAAATTTATTTAAACCAACACTGTTATAATACTATGTTCATACAGATTAGGTTTAAGTTCCTTGAATACTTTCAATACTATTAATTCTTCTCAGTAATATAATACTTTCGTATGGAAACAAAATGGATAGCAGACAAGAAGCTGATGACATAACCCCACCAATGGAACCAGTAAAGAAAAACTGCATTGAAGATTTTAGAAAGTTACACCCCAGTCACATTTGTCGCACGGCGGCCGCAAGTCGGCCGCAGATCAATTAAATCGGTGAATTTCTGCGGCGAGCGTAGAAAAACTACGCTCGCCTTGCGGCCTCCGTACGGCGTATCCAGTTTTTACACGCCGCAGGGTCGCCTTCGAAATTATAACTCGGAGTTATATTATTTGTTCATTTCTGAGGTTTCCGTAGAAATCAACTGGCTCAACAAGATTTAATCATTATTTGTCAATGTTTCACGATCACTTTTCATTTGATATCACATCCTAGCACTATAAAAGACATTTATAAATTGTCCTGATGCAAATAAAATGAAAAAAGTATTATTTATCAACAGAAATTTAAAATTCACCGTGTGGCTGCCGTGGGAAATGTGACTGCAAAAGTATGAGAGCGCAGAAATTCTGCGACGAGCGTAGAAAAGCAACTGGCCGCAGAAATGATAGACCGCACGGCGGCCGCAGGAACTGTGACTGGGGTGTTAGTAGGAGATGGCGTAGGTGTGAATCAGCAGACTCATTAAAATGGTAAAACGACACTCATGGAAGCTTGTAACACCCCAGTCACATTTGTCACACGGCGGCCGCAAGTCGACCGCAGATCAATTAAATCGGTGAATTTCTGCGGCAAGCGTAGAAAAACTACGCTCGCCTTGCGGCCTCCGTTCGGCGTATGCAGATTTTTACAGGCCGCAGGGAAGGCGTAGAAATTATAACTCGGAGTTATAATATTTGTTCATTTCTGAGGTCCCCGTAGAAATTAACTGGCTCAACAAGCTTAAGATTGAATCATTATTTGTCAATGTTTCACGATCACTTTTCATTTGATATTACATCCTAGCACTATGAATAACATTTATAAATTGTCCCGATGTAAATAAAATGAAAAAAGTATTATTTATGAACAGAAATTTAAAATTCACCGTGCGGCTGCCATGGGAAATGTGACTGCAAAAGTATGAGAGCGCAGAAATTCCACGGCGAGCGTAGAAATTTTAATGGCCGCAGAAATGATAGACTGCAAGGTCGCCGTAGGAAATGTGACTGGGGTGTAAGGAAAACAATGATTGTGGAACTTGCAAGAATCCTTCTCATCAATGGCGCAAATGTCAACGCGAGCCATTCCATAAATAGAAAAGATGACATCACGGCACTGATGTTAGCTTCATGGTATGGGAGCAGGGAGTGTGCTGAGCTGATAATAGAACATGGGGCGAATATAAACAGCAGCAAAAAACAGTGGGATGAGTGCATTGATGTATGCTGCCTGGTCACCAGGCTACCAATGTATGGAACTACTTATTGACAACAATGCAGACATTAATGCAGTGGACAACAATGGTAATAATGCCCTGATATGGGCTACAAAAACTGATACTACATGTACCTGTTCAGGAAGCAGAATATCAAGCCTTCATCATAAAGAATATCAATATGTTCTTCAAAGAGATCTTGTCCCAAGCATCAAAAGAAATCAGTTCTTGAAGTTCAGCATCTTGATAACAAAAGGGACCGGTAGCGTTAGTTTAAAAGTCCTAGGAAAGTTAACTTCAAACCAAAGCGCGCAACTTAAGGTACAGTCCATCTTCAAAGATCGAAAACTTAATTTACAAAATATAGTAAAACAAACCATTTTCAACACAATCAATAGCATTAGTTGCAGAAAATATATAAATGTAATTGAGCAATTGATACAAGATTCTCATTTACCACTGAGACTGAAACAGTTTATGTCATTTGATGAGGATATTGATGAGCTATATACTATTATCTCAAAACATTAACACATCAATTAATGTGCATGATATTAATTGTATCATTATATTCGTAACTGGTTTACTTGGACCAAGGTCAAGTTGGAACCTCTAATAAGCTCGGTTCCCGATCACATTAAATACAGTCAGTTTATGTTGTATGGACAGAAACATTGATTAAATTTGTTGATCGAGATATTTTGAAAATTGATTTAATTTGTTTAAATACGCAAAAGGCATTAAGTTAGAAATATCGAGTGTTTTTCGAATTTTGGATCATTTATCAACTTTCCTTAAACTGAACTAAAGAGCTACCTGAAACGCACTCGAATATAAATAAATAAAGGTTGTGAATTGAAGAGAACTGTTTTTTTAACTTTAATTATCATTGCAATGATTTATTCAAAATTGAAACAGAACTACTTCTAAAACAATTCAAGTTAGCCACAGTCGCATTGGTATGGTTGAAAGCCACGCCTTCTCCATCCGTATCATTCTTGGACAATGGACAAGATCTATGATCTACGCAGCAAGGATTCGGAGAGGTGCTATGAGTATCAGAATGGGGTCCGAGTTGACCAGTGTGAACGTACCATATATTGATAACACAATATAGCCTACTATACAATGCTTCTGTTGAGTTTTGTTCGAATAGATCATTGATCATAAATTCAAGGTAGAATCAAAAATAATAGGTAACTTTTCAAAATAAGATTCTCAGTTTAAAAACATGTTGTCACCATCTGATATGATTTGATGTATAATATTTTAGAGGTTATGCATTTTTGATAGAGAGAACATATTAGGATTTTTACTTATTAAATCTCTATCTTTATTCTATTTTATATCTCTATTCTATCTTTATTTCATATACAAAACCTTATATACTTAACAAAGAATATGTTATTTTTTAAATCACAAATTGCTTTATTACAGACGCTGGGGTCACCAAATTAATGGAAAGATGCATTGAGCAATAGCAATGCTGATTCCTGCGCAAAATTGTTTCATTGTACAGTAAGCCATTTGAGATTTCTCTGGATCACGGACAAAGTCCATCATATATACGTATATCATCTATACCCATATCACTCTTGTAGCTCCTCAAAATTGTCCCCTCAAATCTCAGCTGTAAATGTACACAGTATTTACATATTTAATTTGGTAGTCTTCATTTTATTTTAAAAGCACACATAATTGCGAGTATTCAAAGTTAAAGACAAACAAGAGAATAAATTATCGTACACTTAGTGTACTAAATGTATAATCAAATTTCAAAATTAATATATCTTTTCGCAAAATGAATAACCTGAGGATATCGCCACGATATACTCCGGAAAACCAATATGCGGATAAGATAAGATGATGCGGATGATATTGTTACGATACTCCTCTTGTTGATTTCCCGCCAAATTGAACTATACAAGATGACATTTATTTTCCAATAATATTATACATTAGGTCACTATTAGTAAGAAGTGTAGGATAATAAGAACATCTTATGATTTTTTCAGAATAGCATTTCAATCTGCTCGGTGATATTGATATATGCACCCGTTCAATTCCCTCACTCGTGCAAATATCAATATCATCTCGTAGATGAAAATAATATTCGTCAAAATAATGGGATATCCTATAATTATAGTAGAGCCGTCGCTTGATTCAAATTTCAAATTCAGATGAACGAAACTAAAAAGGAATCAAACTCACCGAAAATGTCTTGCCAGTTGCTTTATTAGCAGGTATTGAAACCCTTCCATTGTGCCATTTGTTGCCTTGGTCAGCCTCAGCTCTCCACACTTCCTCCACGGCTTTACCATTCACCAGATTTACTACTATAGAACCTACATGGAATTCATTGTCTTCTTTTTCATCCTCTGACCACATATGATACCAAAAGTCTAGACATTTGGCACCCTTCGACAAGGCTGGAGAATCCAATTTGAATGTGTTTCCGTAGTTTGATGACGCTTCGGTATACATGTAATAACCTATGTATAGAGATATTGCACCATGTTAAATTCACTCAAAAAGTATATACAAACATTCATTGTAACATTAGTAAACGATATAAAATATGAAAAAAATTAAGACCATTTTCCAAATGGGAGAAGGGTAGTTGAACATGTTACTATCTTTTGATTTCAAAAGCTTATACCCAAATCCCAAATTTTGTAAGTCTGTTTTCCAATTCGACATTGGGTATTTGTGTATATTTTCTCCTCGGTTTATAAGATTTGAATTGTGACATTTAATATTTCATTTACATCGATAAAGATAATCAGGCTTTAGCGTGTGAACCAGGGAGTTGATTCAATTAAATCTTTGATAGTGTTTTGCGAAGTCATATCGAAGATGTACCTTTGCCTGATGTATGGTCAGAATCAGGTCCTGTTTTACCACTATCAGTTTTTCCTGTGTGTCTTATCCAAGCAACAGCACCAGCCACATCGGAAAACCCACAAGTGTCTTTATCAAAGTTGCAATCAACAGTGGCTTTTTTCCCTACCAAACAATAGTAAGTCAAAACAATACAACACATCTACAATTAAGTATAATTTGATTTTAAAAATTTCGCACAAACTATAATTTCAATAACATGTAACGTATCTCAATCTAACGTTAGCCAATCTTGGTGATTCTAATTTAGATCGGGTTCCTATACATGTCATGTAAAAATATAAATCTGGACATCTTGTTCTATAATCGGGCTTGTTTGGACAAATCGCGGTTATTTTCTAGAATATCAGAAAAATCGGGAGAAAATCTGGTTTGTTAAAAATAAATCGGGAAAAACAGGGTTTACAAAAAATAGATAAATATGGAAAATCGGGAGTTTATGACGAAAAGTCGGGGTTTTGACTAAAAATCGGATAACCATTACCAATGCGTACTAGAGAATCAATGACAGCTATTAAAACGTTACAGAAAACAAAAAGATTATCTTCAAAATGCCAAAACAGTCATGTGTTTAAAAAACCAATGGGTGCTATTGTAAAGCAGCACAAATACATATTAGCGAATAAGTAACTGCCATTTAGAACCCAAATGGGGGCTATTGAATTTCCACGTAGGGAATCGCTAAGTGCGACTAAAAAATAACAAGAACTTATACAGTAAAGCTCCACCAGGGCATATCATACGAGGGAATCACTAAGAACTACTAACTTAAAGGCTATAATCGAGGCTAGTAATGCACTACTAAGGTATATAAGGGATTTGCTGTATAGAAACCTGGAAGCACATAATTGCAGTATACCAACTGTAGTGGTCGATGTTATACATCAGATTAAAGCTTTGGAGACATGGTTTCATATAACAATAAAATATGACAATGGCATTTCATATTAAAAATAAAATTTGTACTGTATGTAAAGAAGGGAGAGCTTAACAGATACAATTACGTCACTTGCGTACCACCTTCATTTGCGCAACTTCTCAATAGTTAGTTTTCAAAAATAACATCGATGTAAGCATATTCATTACACCTTTCTTTATCATGATCCAAAATAACAAGCTTTGATATCAATCAAATGCCAGAAATTAACATAATATTATTTGAAGCGTGTTTCGAAAATTTTGAAACAGACATTGTTTGTCTGCCGATTTGGCCAGTCAAGACGATACGTCTTCTCAATACAGATTAATATGACAGACATGTGTCTTCTTTGAACCCTGGGGTTATCCCCCCTGATGGTGCTTTCATTTGCTGTCAATATCATCAAAATCCAAACTAAAGTATTCGAGATATCACTAAAGGGGACTTTCTAGATCTTAATAGGGACAAGATTGCAGTTGCCATGGACACAAGAATACCCTGGTTTTAGTCCCATGGGTATGGCCTAATTATGTATCATTTTGGATACCAGAGATCATTAGCTATAAAATGATATATAAATTGTGACTTCATTCTGGGGGTGCTCCGAAAAATGCTAAAAAAACATTGGCCCCCGGAGCATAGATGTTGGCCAGTGGCCAGATCGTTTTGTAGAGGAATATTTAATGAGCTACTGATCCTACTGCAAAATATTCTGACCGGGATCTATGCCCCGGAGTATAAATCTGAACTTGACAGGTGAGGGCTTCCACTTTTGTCACTGTGTGTCATTTACAACATAACAAACATTACACAGAGAGCTTCAATAATGAACACAATCAACTCCTTCCCTCTATGTCAAAACGTGTACCTTTAGGCATTGGGCCTGGTGTTGTAGTGGTTGGAGGGGCGGGCGTGGTTGGTGTTGTGAAGTCTATTTTAACTACTCCTTTACATCCATACAATATCCTAACTTTGTTGATATCTACAGGACTCAACTGGGTTCTTTGTCCAATATACGTTGATCCTTCTTTTAATGTAGGTATTATGGTGGGATACTGCCAATCCTAGTTTTGTGAAAACATTTTATTGATCAGTGGTAATTGTTTTCTTTAAAGCATTTATTAGTTGATTAACTGACATTGCCAGAAATTACAGATAGTTACTAACATATATATTCTAATCAAATGTATGTAAATATGTACCTTTGCAAATGCACTTTTACTGTAATGCATGATGCTGTTATAGTCATATGGCATTTCAAGATGATTAATATTCGATTCTTTAAATTTGTTGAAATTTCCAGCATGGCCTAAAAATGAGCATTGTATCATCATTAAAGCTACATAAAATCATTTTATCTATAATTTAAAGCGCTTAAAATAATGAAAACAACTATGTTTATACAGGGTGTCAAATAAGTCCTGTCCCCCCTGCAACAGCTAAAACCTTAAGAGACGGTACCTAGTGTGATATACCATTGGAAAGATTATCAAAAGTTATGTAACTCACCAACTCTCAAGTCTTTTGGATGAAATTTACTTATATATTTATGATGTCTTTTATAGTTAACGAACCCTCCTTTAAGTAGCTTTTTTGCTTCAAAATGACAAGGATATAACCTCAGAAATACGTCAAAAAGTTAATCTTTTTCGCATTTCACTTGTTACAAAAAGGTTTTCACCACTTTCCTTGCACCTCTATTTTCTACACATCTAACCCTATCCAGAAATTGGTTAAATTCCTCGCCATAAACGTATCTAGTCATCTTTTGGTCCCTTGACCTTTCTTATACCCGATTCTTAAAATCCTGCCAAATACGCCAAATCCCCATGTTTCTAGGCATATGGTCACCTCAATTGATACAATGTAAAAATTTGTGAGATTGATTGACATGTGTCAGATATATGCCAATCAATCTAACTTTGGAAGACCTTTCCAATGATATATCACGCTTAGTACCAAATATCTTGGTTTTGGCTGTAGAGGGGGGGGGGACTTATTTGACACCCTGTATATATAAGGAAATGTAAGACAGAAAATGTATTTTGACTCAAAAATGAAGAAAAATATCTTCGCTTGGTTTTGGATTGAACCTACTCAACCCAAGTAAAAGTCAAGCTTGATAACCACTACATGACCATGCTAACTGGTTATGGTTGACTAATTCCTTCATATATGTAGTTTATATATTTCATATATGTCATATTACTCAACGACAATGATTAGAAAATACTCAATATCATACCAATTATTTTAGATTGCATATTTGGGTATTTTAAAATTTTGGAATTAGCGATGTTTTTCATTTCCTGCTAAACATAGTTCAACATGCAATGATGTCTTTTATCTATTAGCTTTTAGATTTATGATGAGCACACACCCCTTGATACGACTAATTATCCTACATTTAAATAAATTTGATATCTATTGGCAAAATGAATAACCGGAGGATATCGCCACGATATACTCCGGAAAACCAATATGCGGAGGATATCGTGACGATATACTCCGCAAAACCCAATATGCGGAGGATTTACTCGGTGATATTGATATATACACTCGTTCGCTTTGCTCTCTCGTGCAGATATCAATATCACATCGTAAATAAAAATGATATTCCTCAAAATTATAGGATATCCTGTAGAATCAGTTTTTGTATGTATCGCTGCCTAAACGGGTACATTTAGACTAGAATAATGCAAATACATTAAGTATATCGTTTACCTTCTTTTATATTTGCCCAGTTGATGCTGATGTACCTATCCCTATCGGCTCTACTTTGTTCATGCCAGAATCCTAATGTATGGAGGAGTTCGTGCATAATTGTACCCTTTCTTACACATCCCTTACTGATGGAAATGGGTTGCTCTTTTCCTGCGACACCAACCCTTGAGTAACATCTGAAAGAGTGATATCGATAGCTACAGTAGTGTACATAATAAAACTACCAACATGAAAGGTATTTGATGATATTAAATTCTTCAAGATGTTCAAGCCAATATGAGTAACACTCTTGGTTATCCATTACATTGTATTTTGATGTCAATAAGTTGCCGCCTAAATTTGTTTTAACACAAGACATACGGACACATTTACTCACCCTCCAATGGGTGAAATCTTAACATAATCTTTATCAATTGTCCTCTGCTTAAATGAAATGCAGTTAGTCCCTTTGAATGCTGTAGCCATTGTTATTTCCTCCATTGCCGCTTTGATGACATCAAGCTCCCAACGTTCTAAATATAAATACATGGATATAATGTAAAGATTTTCTAAAGATTCACTATTTACCAAATCGCTAACTACATACCAAGCGTTCGTTTTATTGTCAATGCTGATCAACTTACCATATGAAGAGTCAATTACATAAGGCACCACACCATTCGGCCATCTTGAGTCTTTATTGGTCATAGCATTTTTAAATTTCCCTTCCTAGAAAACATCATTAGATTAGTAGACTTCCTTAAAAAGCTTCCCATCAAAGTTGGGAGATTTGTTAGACTAAGATCCATCATCATTATAGTGCATATACTTACAAGTATCAACATTTGACAGGTTATACTCATTTGTAGCCTTGCCCAAGTCGGCCTCTTTTATTTATTTTGATTTCTATTATGACCGGTCATAATTCAAGATCAGACAAGTAAAAATACCGACTTAGGCAAGGCTAATTCATTTGATATTTCCAACATAGAACATAAAATAGAGTTAACGACTGGGCATCACCCTTTTCAGGTTAAGTGGGTAGACATTTTCTCACAACTCTGGAGATATTCCATCCAACTCAATGAAATTATTAACAATAAGCCCATATCGGTTATAAGCGAAATAATAAGATTCTGTTATTATTGCCATAGGAGTGACAATTTGTGGTTTTTAGGTTCAAATATTCCACCACTTTGTCGAACAAACTGATCACTGCGCAAGCAATCAGTCAGGTACTTATGGTTATTTTATACCTCCAGTTTTGAGCTTTTTATGATTTAGGCAAATAGCAGTTGTCTGTATTATGATTCTGATATACTTCAATAATTAATTATGTATTATTTTATCACAAGTACTGTAAAACTAAAACAATGACGAGGGACAGAAATATCTATTACATGATGTACCTCCGTTTCCGTTATGCGTTTCAAATCTTCCGGAAGAATATCATCTACAAATAAAAGAATATAACTGTACGTATTAATCGCATATGTATATGTGTCTAAAACTAAATATAGCCTTCCACAATTGCAAGTGAAAGTAGCTGACCATCTATTGCTGAGATATTGAAGCTATAAATGTATATTTCAAAGTCAGTAAATGTTTTAAAACACAATAGCAAGACAAGAAAACTATGAATTTTGAACTGATTTTTGATTTTCAAAAGTATTAGGTTTAAATACTCATAAGCACATGACAATAGCTGATCAGTTCTGTAATATGTCTCTCAATATATTCTATTTGGGTTACAAATCACATAACATTGGTCAAATAAATGTTTTGGTGTAGTTCAAAACCCAATCGTTAGAGTTTAAAAAAGAAAGACCTTTTATTTTATAGGTAAATTGAAATTATTTCAACCATCGAAGTCCTTAATTTCACCATTCAGATTCTACAACGGACTGAAAACGAGGTTTTCCAATTGAATGAACCAGCATTTTAGAAAGAGGGAAATTTCCCGTTTCAAAAATGAAATGCCCGCGTGCTGAAGAAAAACCAGTTCGGCGGTGCTTGAAAACAATGGTTTTTACAGAAGAATATAATATTGAGGTAAGATTATTTTGTCAGAATTACGTGTCTCAATTTTGTGTTTTGTAGTTTGATGAAAAGTGACTATGATTTTATCCAAAGTATGCCACTGAACTGCTTCTTGTCCATTTACTTTACGTAAAGGTGGAATAAGAACACCACCCGTCCGGTGTCCAGTTTAGGCAAACCTACATTCTCAGAGTCATGAATACCTTCCGTCGAGTGTATAATCTAAACAAAGTAGTTATGAAACTATACCATAGAATAATTAAGAACGTATATATACTGTTTTTGAAGAGGTTAGTCAATGCTTATTGGCACAATGCATAAATGAAATAAAAAAAATCATAAAAAAAAGAAGTGCATGTATGTACTTACCTTCATCATCATCTCGTTTATCTGAAAAGATATAGAAACGGATTGAAATATTAACGAAGAATAAATTTAGTTGCCCGAAGGTTGTAGTGTTCATTCTTTTTATGAATTAGTGCACTTTTTATTTACTTGATTTTATGACAATCGTTAGTATATTTAAAATCAAACTAACGAGGTTTCTATTCTGTGACGTTAATCATACATGCCTTACCTTCAGTATTATCTGGATTTCCTTTTCCTTTTTCGATTTCATTTTCCTCTTCTGATTCGCTCTCATTTATATTCTTTTCCAAATGCAACAAACATTAATACATTAATTCAATAGTTATTAGTTTTATCGAGGTTACTGGGGACATACCCAGTGCGAATAAAGAAATTTGAATGTCATGTACTCAACTAAGTTTTAACAAATATCATGTCTAAATAACAATAATGCTCTGATTTTATACATGAAATGTTTTAAATATTCCACATATTGTCCGATTTAAGTGTTTTTGGATAAAACCTCTATAAACACTTACTTTTCTAGAAACGAAAATATCGAGACAATGAATTAACAAGACAAAATGTCACCAAATGCAAATGGTTGAACTACGATTTAATGCGAACAATCGAGCTCCAATCGTCAGTTACAATTAGTGTTGAGTGTAATGTCCACGATTCTTGGTGGTGACATAAAGAGTGTTTCAAGTAATGCACTCTTCATATTGATATTAAATGATAATTAGGGAACATAAAGACCTTAGACACTTCCAATGCAAGAAGTATTTTTGATTAACATACCTGTACAGGTGCAGCAAATATTTTTTGAAGTATCAATGTAACGCACAACAAAATCCATATCAACTTCATCTTTAAATTCTATGCTCCAGAAAAATTTCCCTTATGGATATGATATGCAAATGCCAAGTGAAATAGCACATACAATGGCGGAGTCTTTTATTCCCTATGGTAAATTCTGCTAAGTACATTAAAATAACTTTGTTATTAAATAATATAACAATTACGTCAATACTATTGTACAAGAACAATGTAGATTAATCGTAAGATGTAATGGTCCTACACACCTTGAATTATATCTCTTTGTTTCGCAATTCAATTTAGTTTCCATCCTTGATGATAATTATAAAGCTCATACAAAGGATATTTTCAATGTGATTAAGTTTAATTACTTATGCTTAATACCTAAATGATTTAAATAATTGGAAATATAATATACTTCTCGTATGTATATAAATTAATACAAGACAACACCTGGAAATATTTCAGAAAAATGACATGACTTTCACGAATACAGATGCATGATACAAGAGTTTATCCATTACAGATTCATGACACAAGAGTTTAGCCAATACAGATTCATGGCACAAGAGTTTAACCAATTCAGATTCATGGCACAATAGCCTAACCAATACAGATTCATAACACAAAAGTTTAGCCAATACAGATTCATGACACAAAAGTTTAGCCAATACAGATTCATGGCACAAGAGTTTAACCAATACAGATTCATGACACAAAAGTTTAACCAATTCGGATTCATGGCACAAGAGCCTAACCAATACAGATTCATAACACAAAAGTTTAACCAATTCGGATTCATGGCACAAGAGCCTAACCAATACAGATGCATGGCACAAGAGTTTAACCAATACAGATTCATGACACAAGAGTTAAACCAATACAGATTCATGACACAAGAGTTTAGCCAATACAGATTCATGACACAAAAGTTTAACTAATACAGATTCATGGCACAAGAGTTTAACCAATACAGATGCATTGCACAAAAGTTTTACCAATACAGATACATTTCATCAAAACAGATACATGACAATCTACTGATTGTAAAATAATGTGCTTGTCTGGAAATGTTACATACGTTGCATACGTTTTGGGAAAATGGACTTTCTATGATGATGACGATTGTCTAAAAACATAGTATTTTCGATTGTGAATACTATAATGAACATTACTAAGTAATAAAGACCTCAATTCTATGATCTATGGCGCAATATATGACCCAACATTTTGTTCATTGTTAAAAGACCGTAATCCAGCTCTTTGGAAAAGGCCAGAATAAAATAGGAGGTCATATATTTGCCACAAATCATATAATCGAGGTATTTGTTAAGATTCTAATATGATAATCAAACCAGAAAAACAACTATTTACATTTAGGAAAAGCGGTCGTGCATACTCAAATACAGATTAGTAAATCAATTATCATAATTGGAGGTATACGGTATTTATTAGATTTTGGGAAACGATGTAACCATGCAGTATCAATAGTAAATCGAAGCACTGTACAATCATGATGACATTTTTGTTCTAAAATTACTTAACATAACTACATGTAGGCTTCATCACGTCTAATTGGGGGAGCTCAGATTTTGAGAAAAGTGTAATCTGTTAGTACGTAGGGTAATTCAGTGTCAGTAAAACATCCTTACAATCTTCAGTTATACTCTCAATGACTGCGTCAGGTAGATCATTCCTCCAAGAATACACAACTTTTTCTGAATTTTCATTGCACAAAAGGTGCGGAATGGTGGAATTACAATGCATATGTTCATCCAACCACTGAACCACTTCAGTGGGAACTTCTGTTCTTCCTAGAAATCTATATATCCTTTTTAGTTCGAGTTCCGTATGTAAAATAAGATCTTCATATTTAACCTGAAAATTAAAAGTAACAATAGAAGGGCAATAGATTGGTATAAACATATATTGGTCTCACTTCTCACTCAGATCACCTCTCACTCAGATGTACATAATTTGAAATTGAATTTCAAATCCAATTTTGAAATAAACGATGATCAACCATCAGGAATTGCTTGTTATAAGACCCACCAAATATCTTTTTCTCTATAGTTAATTTGCTCTTTGTCAATAGCCTTAATGGCACAGAGCAAGATAACACTCAATTATATAAATGTGTTTGATGTACTTTAAAGTGAATTTGTTAAAGGATTAAGCATTCCTTTGTTACTTACCACGATAATCTTGCTCATCTGCGTTTTATTTAATGATTCCAAGTAATCTAGATCTACTTTGATCATATTACATAGAACCTTTGATGAGGATATGATATCATCGGATCCAAATGAATAAAAGTCACCACAACACCTATTAGATTTCCCTGGATTTCTCCCTCGTTTTCGTCTTGAGTTTTGGATTCCACGTGGGTCCCTCATGTAGAATATAATCCTGAGATCAGGGTCGTTGTGGGAAGTCTCGATCAAGGATCTTAACTCAGTTCTCAGTACTTTTGTTGCTCTTATTGGAGTTCGTTGGCAGGAGCGTTGATGTGACTCAATACATTTTGAAATAGGTGTGAAATATCGTGGAAGAATGTGTTGTATCTCCTTATATCTATTTAATTCATCTATATTGTTGTCTGATATGTTTAGTTTATACTTAGCAGCTATGATTGGGTTAAGGCACATGGGTTGTACAGTGTTAATAACAGCTTTAACTCTATTACAATCACTCGTATTCAAAGCAATGTCCGTAGGGAGCAGTGCAAACTGATGCTGCCATGTCAAGTTTAGATTCATCATGCATTGGTTGTATTCGTCATCATCAATAACTGAGAATGTTGAGGTATTCGTAGCACCAAGGAACGCATATGGTGTGATGTCTTTGTAATTACAGGTGAATAGATTTCTCAACATATCCGTTACAACTGCTCTCTCATAGTATGGTATATTCCTGGAAGAAAATTTGTCGAATCATTCAACAGAATCACTGATGTATTATGCATGGACGTGCATATTGCACAGTGTTTGGAAAACATGAATTGTAGAATTTACAATGTCGATATATCTATATTTCATCTTTAGGTAAACTTTTCTGAGTTTAAACTCAATTTATTCTCTTGCTTCTTGAATAGATAAAATATCCCTAGAAGGACCAGGGAACGTTTGTGGAAGAGATCTGAGAATTAGTCTCCATTTCCAGCCCTATCGTTTGGGATCGTGTTTATGGTTCCTGGATCATTGGGAGGAGCGCTAGATACTGTGTTAAACCATTGTTTGAGATAATGTTTTTTCCTTTGGACTTGTTGTACTCGTATATAAACATTATCAATGATATCTCTGCTGACCAAGTTTGAAGAATGTATCTCCCTCACACAGAAACGAGCTGCAAACCTGTCAGTTTGAAATGAAAACAATACCTTGCTGTTCCATTTGGGTACATTCGAATTGACCAGGGAGGGACAATCACACCATACATCTCCACATATGCCATGCCGATTGGTTCAAACCAATACACTGCATTTGGGTCTGCATGAAATATGCCACCAGCAAATGATGAGCCACTCTTCTTATAAGCCATGATTACAACATTGACATTCTGTATTGTAAGTGTTGTACTCTGAAAAATCATGGATAATGATTGATAATAGCAGTATAATAATTAAATATCCAATAAATACAATAAATAATACTAATATGGTTAACCTTTGATAATAAAGTGAAACAATGAAGAAGTACAAAACATATTTACAATATATCTTACAATTATATAAAACGTATATAATGAATGATACTAACATGTTCGATAATAACAGTGTAACAATGATGATGTAAACAATATATTTACAATAAAAACTATTATATAAACCCTATATAATGAATAACACTATTTATTGGACGCCCTGTATATAATGAATACTCCTAACATGGTTAATCTTCGATAATAATGGTGTAACAATGAAGATTTCCAAAATATATTTACAAAAATGTACAAAACATATTTACAATAAAAAAGTATAAACCCTATAATGAATTCCCTAACATGTTTCAAAATAAACGTGTAACAATAAAGATGAACAAAATACAATTACGTACAATAAAACCTATAATGATTATGCTAACTAAACATGATTAATATCTATGATAATGAAAATGACATAATGATGATGTATGAAGGGCATTTACTGTAAAACCTATAATAAAATTCTTAATTTACTTAAACAGGACCTACAGTGGAGATTAATTTGTATTTAATAGAATAGAACGCTTACGTGTACGTGTACGTGGAATTTAGATTCCAATTCAAAGAATAAAAGCATATACCTCACTATGTGCCTTTGTAATTTCTCTGATGTTTCTGTTAGACGCCAGTGTGTGTTCTTCAAAACCTGTATGGTAAGAATATAATAACGGTTTTTTATTATTACGTTGCTTTTATCTGCATAATGAAATGGAATTGACATCATGGATTGATATTCTAACATTGACATTGAGATAAACTTTCCGTTTCTAAGCATACACCAGTTGGTTTACTTCTGAGCAAATGAAAAATTTAATTTTCATGAAATTACCTAAATATAATGCAATGGATCCAAACATCGCAAGGATTATTATAGCAAGTTGTTTATTCCAAACCTTCTTCCACATTTTTATCCGATGAAACCCCATTGGGTATTTGCATTGTGATTTAAATTGAAGCATTACAGAAGTTATGTGGTATTTAACTTGAGACTGATAAATATGTTTCTATTTTAACCTTTTGTTCCATTTAACTCCACATTTTATAAACAAATTTTCGTAAATCATGCACGAAGCTTGAATGTGAACAGATTGAACTAATGTTCTAGTTAGCTTGTTCTTGTTCACATCATTTGGGTGGTGGTGAATTAATTAAAAATGAATAAATCACATTTATCTGGTTAAAAATCATATTTGACGATGTATTTGCTTTGATGCTCTAACATGCGAGTCCTAATGAGCATCCTATTTTCGGACTACTGTTGGAGTGTCTGTCTTTTATTTCTGAATTTCCTCACCATATTTTACAATTACTAAAATTGAAATGAATATGAGATTTTGGATTATGACAATGGTTTCTAAGTTGATGAGGGATGATATTACAGACACCCGTGTCTGTATATGCGCTGTTCGATTAAATAGTACAGTCTTATCTATGTATTCCATGACTTGTTGAGTGTATTTCTTTTGGATTTCATGAATTCTAGAGATGTCTTTGTTGATTTAAAGTTGACTAATTTGGGAAAATATAAGACTGGATCTTCATCCGAATAGCAAAGTAATCTTTTTGGAAATCAAAGTGCTGAATGTGTTTCTAAGATGTTTCCGAGACATCGTGGAAAAAATAAGTACAATATGGAACCAAATGTGTCATTGGAGTGAGGAGCAAAAACGATTAAGATACAGGAACTCACGGTATAACTTGTAATAAGGGAACAAATTCCAGCATCATAAACCGTAAATCTTTGCAAAGAAATTGGTGTCTCACACATCTTCTCTCATCAACTTAGTAATATACATGGCCTGTGACCTGGACACTCCAAGGGATGCATAATAGATACGTTTTGATAAACAGCAGATGCTTATACTTGCTTCAAAGGACAAACAACTTTTCCTACCTATCGTTTTGTAAACGTCTTCTTCTGGTCTTTGAAACAAATCAGGATGTACCGTTGCACATGATCATAATACAGGATTACATTAGTTCACAATGTGAGTTGACAAGCTGGAAACATCACAAGACTTAAGTTTACTTTCAAAGCAGTTGGGGTATCCTTTAAATCACATGGCTCCTCCCTGAATTATAGACGTTCCAGTAATATCGCGAATAGTGTTAATTTTTGAGACTAAGCTCTGAAAAGACAGTTAAAATAAATTGCATTATGGAATCAATAAACATATAAACTTACTTATTTACGTACTTGAAAATGTTCCATCAATTGATTTCATTAATTAAGCCTATCAGTATGAAGCTGTCTTTGCCATAAAAAATCCGACCTGGTGATCTCACAACAAAGACCTTCTATGTACACGGGAACAAAATAACTTTAAACTATCACACATTAAAAGGACTTAAACAATTGTTTGACCACTTTATAATAGTCTCTAACTCCAGGTGTTTGTTTACATTGACTGTAATTACATCTCATATGTTTAAATCAGTAATCAATGGTGTAATTCAATATTCCTTTTTGTTGGCGAGTAATTGAATCTGTCAGTAATAAATATTAGGTAAAAAGTCTTAATTACAGTTAAATCTGGTTAACGTAATTGCTATATCAATTAGTCGGATATATTATCCGGAAGAGATAAAAACTATATTCCAACTATCCAATTGGAAGTAATTGCTTTTATTTTAAGTGCTTTGGTCTTCGTATTACTATTTACATACCATTAAGTACCATTAGGAATACAATGCCTAAATACAATGGTGAATATATCTTTACCTTCACCTTCACCGTGTCACAGTTCGTACGGTGCGTTCCTCGACTCTTTCTTGTCTTTCTGCACTGGATTCGTCACATCAGTTCAGGGGAGCATTATTATGTTATGAATACTAAGATTATAAATCCATTTCTTGCAATTTTAACATGCACATCTATATATTTGCTAAGTCTGTTACTAACTTCTGACTTCAAATAGAGTTTAAACAATAACTTAAAAATAAAATAAAAAACATTTATAAATGCTCCCGACAAAGTAAAATATGTAACTCCTAAAGTAGATTTTGTCAGGAAAGAAGTTGCTGACGACATTAACCTTTTAGTCTTCGCTGGTATCAACAGCTGACGGTTACAAAAACATTGGTAATCTTTGTAAAACTCGTCGAAGTTGAAGTACAGGATAACGACCAAATAGCTGGCTAACTCACGGTGTTATAGCATGACGGTTACGTCAAGGCGATTTGCAAAATGTTGCGATAACGATAACAAAAAATGGCGGATTGGAAAGGCAGCATGTCCTCTTTCTTGCCTGTAGGCAATATTCACAGAAAATTTCCTTTTAAACTAGTTCCATTCGTTGACGTATATATGGATGGTTATAAAGACTGGGTCAAATCTGTCAGGTGGTCTACAAGAAACAGATTATAAGCTGGAGACCTACACTAGGAAAAACTAATAAAATAAGAGGTATGATTACCGATTATATGGTAATATAGAAGGTGTGGTAATTCAGCTACCGACTAAGATATCCAAGTTTATAATTTTTGGTCCATTCTCGTGTTTTCTCAGTACATTTGCCTCGGAGCCACTCAAAATATTAACTGTAAGTAAACTGTGTATAAACAAGGCATAAAATGACAAATCCAGAACAGGCCGTGGTGTATATCGTAAATAATAAGGTTTCAAACGCAATGTCGTTAGACGACTACGTATGACTTCTCTCGAATTCTATGGACGGTAACGTATTGTATTAGTTGTACATAAGATATTTAGCAGACGGTTACGTGCATGTACATCTGTCAAGTCAAGGTTGCTAGATCTGATAGCCTCTTTCCATGTTATTGTTATAATGGGTAAGAAATGGAATGTTGAATTTCTTATATATGTTATAGAGACACTCTTGTTTCAGCCTCTATAAGGCAAGGAAAAAACTGTCGCTTGCTTTATTTATGAAACCGATGAAAGTGAAAAAGATAGCAATGAAGAGGTAAAAGAAGATTTAGGATCAAGTACTGATGAAGATGACAAAATTAATAACAATGAATCGGGGTGTCGTATTTGCATCAGGTTTGCGTAACCGTCCATCAATTTTTTACGTTACCGCAAATTCAAAATACATTATTATGGCTTGAGTAGAACATGAAGTGGTTTCTAATGCTCAATTGGCTTTGTATGATCGTATGTAGGTTAAATCTATATACCACAAGGTTTTTGGGCAATGTGGACCATGTCCTAACAACAAAAATAAACAAATTACAAATTGTTTGTGTAGTTTTGAATTTCAAACTCGACAGTTTTTCTCTTATTTCATGTTATCCCCGGGCATCAATTTGCAGACTACGTTCAAAATATACATTACTGAATGCATTACCGAATGCGACGCTTACATAAATCTTTCATCCTTTCATTGATACACAGTAGTAGGAAATAATGCAACAACCTTAGTTTTCTCTTCTATCGCGGCCATTTTATTGGATAAATCAGTGAACGTAGCCGTCCAACCTCGTTTTCAGAGGTGGCGTAACCGTCATGCTATAACAATGTGTAACTAGCAGTGATCAGTGATCACGTAACTTTTTATGCCACTGTAACATACAATGGTCGATTATAATAAATAACACGAATATCGATATATATAGTCGCGAACCAATTTTTCTTCTCCCCCGAACATATTTCTCTATTCGCTCCGGATGGAAGGAATGTAGCGAGGTATAAACTCAGATGGTCGAGATAATGGAAATATATGAGGCCTGTATAAGTGCGTCTCGAAACCTCCATGTTTATTAAAAACACGATTTAAATACATCGTAGATAATGACTTGTCTAAAAATTCATTTGTTAAAAGCGTTTGTAATAAGAGTGCCATCTGCTTTTTTCAAAGTTAGGGCTTTATGACCAGGATATTCATTGTAATATCTATATTTGCATCATCAATCAATAAATAAATGTGCAATGAAACTACAAAAAGATCGTAATCGAATCAACTTTAAATATGATTCGAACATGACTGTATTCACGCCTTCTATAGACTGTAAACAAAGTGAACATTTCACCCGGGGTATATTCGCTAAGAATGCCCCTATATATACTAGTAATTTGTGACGTCATAACGGTGGGTCGTAGTAATGACGGGCCGATAATGAATATTCGAAACATTTTGGTGAGATTTCATGTTCGAATCGTAATATAGACCTCAGAGCAGGGGTAATATGTCGAATACCCGTTCATCTTAGAAATCTCACTTTAATAATCAGACTGGAAAATCTAATTTTATCCAGTATTTATTGGAATTGCTCATTTCATTTCAGATCTCCTGACAGCACGCGTGGACAGGGGTTCATTACGTCAACGACCTCGTCTAATTTTGATTTGATCTCATTTAGGCCAACGATTCAAAGGGCAGATACAAAGTAGCCCTTCATCCCCGCTACTGTAAGTCCGTAATTGATCAATAGGGAATTTATTGAAGTATCATTGATACTATGAGGTGCAGAAATCACCAGGGGTTGTTCAGTTTGACATCATTTTCTTGACAGATACATGTACTTTGTAGCCTAAAATCAAAGATATATATCCTAAAGTAAAATCAAAACTATTGGACCTAAGAAATTGTGTATTTTTCGGAAATTTCTATCTATCCATTTTATTTTCATTAACTCTACAAGCTCTATCTGATGTACATTTCGTATTAAATTGAAAATAAAATTTCAATAAAACTATTCATTGGTGAAATACCCTAAAGGACCCGTCACTATAAGTATATAAAAAGTGCCCCCAGAGCATTAATAATCATTATGACAAATGAAATTTTACTTAGTAAGGGGTTAATTATGGCATAGTGTTCAGGTACAGCCTAAATGCTATTGGGGTCATCGTGACCTTGTAATGATCTAGTCAGTACATATCTGCAAATGAAACATTATTGTGTGCAAATTCATCATCTATGAAATCTAAAATGTGAAAATATGATAGAGAATGTTGTTAAGAACAACTTTGACCTTAACCTTTGAACTTTCGAAAGGAGGACAAACTTTCAAATTTCACAATTTTTGTTTTTATTTTTTTATTTGGGTCCATTGATTTAAAATGGGGATGTCATCATATACCAATATGATGATATCCTTGAGTTAAGATGTGTTAGAATATTGAATGTGAATATATTCTTAGACCTCAGAACAGTGATTATCAAGAGAAAAACACACAATTTTGGCAGAGAAATCGGTCACTCTTGGAATTGCTTGAAAACATGTTCTTGGGTTCATTTAATTTCGAAATAAGTATGGCATCAGTGAGTTAAGACTATTACCTTAGTTTATTATTTCATAAGAATTTAACACACGATTGTACATTGGATTTATACCTTATTTATAGTGACACTTATAGTGACAGATTCTTTCGAATATTGCAGTCTTAAGATTTTGGAACACCTAAGAAATAACAACAGACACAAAGGATCGAGATTGGTTTCCATCGTTTCCTCTGTTATACATGAGAATGTGGTTTTAAGTCTACACAAAGCAAAAAGCGTGAATTTGAGATCAAGACCAAAGATCAACGTGACTTGTGTTTTCACAATACAATGTGATCCTTCACAAGTATAATAAAGAAGCCTCGTCAATTATAATGAATTGTCCACTGACATTCTAAAAACATTATGGAGTTACAATGACAATATTCATACAGTCCATACCCTCTATACTAATTAATGCCAATAGTAGAGCAAACTAGGGTGATATAAATGACCATCTCTGAACTAAGGTTTCAATACACCATTAGAAAGCTGGACAAATCAGCTTTAAGAATCTGACCTCCATTTGAATTTTTAGTTAACGCAAAATTGGATATTAACCCTTTCATCCCCAAGGGGTCATTTATTAATTTTATGAAAATCAATTTAAATATGACAAATACCCATATGGCCAGAATGAATTACTATTAGATTTACAATAACTCAATTCATTGTCAAATTAAACTTTGGAGAATATTTAAGAATTTGAACCAAGATCGCTGAAATAGGGGCCATTAAGTGCAGTGGCCCCATTATGCTACAAAATTTTTGTTTATTTTTAGGTTTACAATAACTAATTCAATGTCAAATTATACTTTGGAGAACATTTAAAAGTCAGATAGGCTGAGATGGGGGTCATTAAGTGCAGTGACCCCATAATGCTACTAAATGCGTCAGAATTTTTGTTTTCACTAGAAATGAGATTTGATATTTCAAAATAATATGTAATTTGGGTATTTAAGAATGTACAATATACAATTATTGACCTCTCCAGAGGTTTACTGTCAAAATTATATCCCGAGACTGTACTCTGGAGAGGTCTATAATTGTTTTGTTAGTCCGAAGAATATCTTAGATTTT